GGTTGGTTACTGGGATCAGCTGACACTCTCCAATTTGTTAAATCAGGTAATCTGACCTTAAATCCAAGCCTGTAGATGCAACCATGGAAAGGGCACTTCCAGAAATAGGCCATTTATCCTGTCACTCTGCACGGAATTACAGTAAGATAATAACTCTGGGATGTGGTTTTCCCTCTGGTTGCTGTGCCTTCTGGATGCTCAAAAGAAGGCTTTTTTTGCCTTTTTTGTTTCAATTTTATTTTTATTTTTAATCCTAACATTGGCATTTCCTTACTTGCTGGTTCCAGTTTTAAAATGGGGAAAACAAATGGAAATATATTAGTGCTGCCTCTGTGGGAAAGGTGCCTGCCAACACCTCAGCCCTGCTCTGTTCATAGCATCCAACTTTTACCTTCTGTCCCTGTGAGATGCTGGGACTGACCAGATGCTGTGGATGCTGTTCCCTGACTCATCCTTATGGGCTAAAGTACCAAAAAGAGCACATCAGGTACAAAACCAAGCCCCTGCTCCAGCACATTGTTAGTACCCCTAATAAACCTTGTGCCACTGGAATCCCAGGTGCCCTGTGTGAGCAAGCATAGGAATCAGCTCAGCAGCCATCCCCTGACTTGTTTGCACCTAAAAGCAGGCAAAAAATAAAATATCTTGAGTGGATACCATTCCTTGGAAGGTCACTTGTACTTCAGATCAACTCAGCCTGGTGTCACATTCAAAACTTGCCAGCATATTTGGGAAAATCAAAGCTCAAAGAACAGCTCCAGTCAAGGACCCTTTATTCCATGGGGTTTCCAGGCAGGGCTTATGCAGTTGATATAGGGATCATGGTTTTTTTTTAGGAAAGAATTTTAGGGAGGAAGACTGGTGGGTACTGAAAGCAGCTTTGTGTCCTGCCACTAGATTTCAAGCAGGACACCTGGGTCCCTAAAAACTCCAAACAAAAAGGATCCTATTGCATCCTTCTGATCCCAGGGATAGTTAAGAGTGGCTGATGCTGAGGGCTGTCTGCTGCTCTACTGGGTCACAGCTGCAGCCCCTGGGTAAATCTCCCTGTGCTCCCTTTCCAGCCAGGAACGACCCTTTTAGAGCATAGCTCATCTCACCCCAAAGGAGTCAGCTGGAATAAGTAAACAAAATTCCTACAAACCCATCTTGTAGGCTGCTGCCTCCTTCAAGGGCATTCAACTCTTTCCAGTCATGTGTGAGACCCCTGCCTTGGCCAAGGGCTGGGGGAGAGGAGCAGGAAAGCTCTACTCAGCCAGGCAGGAGGATTTGGGAATGTCCTGGTGACCCTATGCAAGTTTTGCCCTTATGCCCCATGCGATGCTTTTCAAAATTGCCAGTAAAATCATTGTTTCCTTTAATTCCATTGCTTTCTTTAATTCCAGAGGTGGAAAGTGGGACTCTGTACAACTCCTCAGTGCATTTATAGCCACCATTCCCTTAAGTATCCTCAGAGCAGGGAAAGCTTTCCTCATGGCTCCTGTGTGACCAGAGATGTCCTATCAGGTTTAAGTGGGAAGGAATGTCCACCTTCTCTTCACCTGATCTCTACCTCTCCAGGTAAATTAAAATTATGCCTTTTACTCCTGCTGACTGTCTAGCTTCCTTCTCTTGGTCTAAAAGCATGGAAAATTGGGGCTTGGCATAGACTGTTATGGGCAACATCCCCAAAGTACTCATCAGCACCTTGGGATTAAGTAGTCCCTGGCATTTTTGTCAGGAAAACAGGCAGATATGATCAGACAGTCTCTCTGTCACTTCTTGTTCACTGTTTGTGAACCAAGGGATAATTTCCAGCTTTGGAACCTTTGCATTCCCAAAGAGTTGAACTGACAAGGTTTGTGCCAACAGGCAGGCAAGTATAGAGGGGAGGGAGAGAAAGAGAGAAAGGGAAATTACTATTTCTGGGACACAAAAACCCATCCAAGGGTTCAACCTGAACTCTTACAACCAGAGGAGACCAGGTCACGTATGGGATCACTCACTCCTCTAATGAGGGACTTCCCAAGGAGCAGGGGTCTGTTTCCAGGACCTGCACCCACTGTGTCATCCCAAACTGGTTCGAACAGGGGATAAATCCCACAGCAGAACTTCTCTGGCTTAAACTGAGCCCTCCCCATCATCCTTGCCCTGCATGGACATGTAACAGAGGCACAGGGAGTCACTGGCAGTGGGTTGAAGTCTGGTGGTTCCAAGTGCTGGAAAACACGAGTGTGCAAGTGTAGGTGTTGGTGTGGTGAGCCACTCACAGCCAGAGCCTGCCTGCAGCACATCAGGCTTCAAATTCTGCTTTTGTTTTTGTGTAAAGCAGCCTGTCCCTGTCCAGGCAAGAGCAGGGACAGAAGCCAAGCCAGGCTGCAGGTACTGAGGGGACAGGAAAGAGCAGCTGTGGGAAGCAGCAAGAGTCCAGCCCAGACCATCTGCTGCTGGTGGATTAATCTCTAACCTGTGCTCTTAGCTGGCCAAGGGAAACTTGTTAGGCTGAATTTGTATCTCTAGCTTCAGGTTACAGCCTAGCATGTTAAAATAAACCATCCCTGACTTTGTGTCAGTTTAAAAAGCTGGGCTGTGGATTAGAGATGTAGAAGGAATTGTGGAAGGAGCTGTTTGTGATCACTAGTGAGAGGAGGAGGAGACAGCTCCATGCTGCCAACAGCTTGAGCATGGCCAGAGCACCTCCTTGAGAAAAAAGAAAAGATCGGAGCCCCAGGATAAAGGAGTGCCTGAAAAGAGCCTTGGACCCATGAGAAAAGGCTCTCTTCTGCTCTGGGATCAAGCGTTGTGTTCTCTGAAGGAGCAAATTTGAAACTATTTTTATTCTCTTGCTACTATTGTTTCTCATTACCACTGTTTGTCTTGTGTTCTTTTGTGAAGCGTCCTCTGCCAGACGAGTAGCAATCGTGAAAACTTGGAAGTATTGTGGAGGAAAGAGGATTTTTTTTTCATTTCCTTTATAAAAACGTGAAATTAAAAAAAAAAAAATCAGATGTTTTCCCTGCTAGTGAAAAGTAAGGAGAGAAAGAGAAATGTCTGGCAAAAAAAGCTGTCTCACAGCTTTGTTGAATGCTGGAGAAGGAAGAGATGGATGAAAAGAGGTGGATGAAAAGCAGTAATAAAAAGCAAAGTTTGAGGAGTGGACTTGAAGACTGCCTTACTGCTTATCTGATTTCCTACAAAGGGGACGGGCGTCCCTCAGGATGGTTTCAGGTAACTTCTGCCCGAGCCTCCTGACTCATCCCTGTGTGGATTTTGGATGTGCTGGAGCTGAGCTGAACCTGCCAGGCTCTTACAGTTTGCTTTTGCACACATGGAGGAGAAGCTGGGCTGCTTGGACCGAGCGTTATAAAGCCTCTTTCTAGGAAAAGAGCTTTGCGTAACAGAAGGGAAAATAGGTCGTTGTCAAGGTTTAGGGCATTTGCAGAAGAAAGTAAACAAGTGGTGCAGCGTGGCCGGGCTAGAGGGGAGAGCAGGATCTGCTCCTGCTCCAGACAAGGCTGTGCTTTGAAGGAGGGCTTGGCTGGGAGCAAAGACAGCCTCGTGTTTACAGCAGTGGGATTCGGATTCTCCGCGTGATCCTTGGCAAAGCATCCCATCCCTGGGCTGAGTCTGGGTGCACGGAGGAATCACCACCCCACAGCACCCCGGGCTTTGGGTGCCAAGCTCTGTGGGGCACCACACAGAGCAAACAGGGCCTCGGAATCGCTGTGGAGCTGCTGCGGAAGAGGGAGGCTCACCGAGGCAGAAAACCATGGCAAAGCAGAGCCAGGCAAAGCCAGAGCACAGCTTGTCCAGGGACACTCGGAAAGAAACAAAAAACAAGGCAAAAAAAACCCAAACAACCACCAGCCTCCTGCAAAAGCACTGCAAAGTCCTTACAAACGCCTTGAGGCATCGTCCAAGCAAAATGCCAGGGTTGATTTTGGGAAGACATCCAGCTGACACAGAACCACAGCACGTTACCTTGGCGAGGGCCGGGGGAGAGGCCGGGCACCCACCCGGGCACCAGCGGCCGGCTCTGTGCTGGCAGCCCGGGCTGTGGCCGTGCCCTCCCGGCCGGGTACAGCCTGTGCCGGAGCTGTGGCACCCGGGGGGCTCCGCGGAACATCTGCCAGCTGCCCGGCCCCCGCCGCCAGCCCGCCAGGACATCTTGTTTGTGTTTTTGTGCGGAGCACACTCCCAGCGGGTTATGTCAGAGGTGAGGAATGCAGGGCCACCCTGTGTCATGAGATCAGACTCGCATTTTTAGGCTGAGCTCTTACCGTATTTGCTGGGAAGCGGCGCGGGGGCCCCGCAGGGGTGGGAGATCCCCCTTCGCCCGCATCCCGCTTTTCCAGCCCTCGCTCCAGCGCAGCCGGGTGGGGCGGATGGGGCCCGTCTGCTGGAACAAGCTCTCCCTCTGTTCCTCGCAAGGAGCAAGAAAGGAAACGCAGTGAATTAAGGCGAATGAAAAGGCGGCACTGAAAGGCGGCCGGGAGCGGTGCCAAGCGCAAGGCAAGCGCGGGGAGAGAGCTGGTGGCGAGCTGCTCTCTGCCGCCGGGGAAGGCATCGGCACCCGGGGCTGCCCCACCGGGAAACTCACCCAGACACCCCCAAAACATCCCCCTGCCAGGGGCTGAAAGCGTGAGGAGCGACATGAACCCCCCAGGCCAGCGAGGAGGTTGGGCTTGGAGCCCCTGGAGTGAGAGCCTTTGACCCAAACACCGCCCAGAACAGCGGCGGCTTTCCCCCAGTTCTGTTGCTGGGATCCAACCCTTACGTCCCACCTTTCTGAAATTTCGAGGCTGCTTGGTCCAAGTCCTGCTCAAGGAAAGCTGGTGCAAACCAGCTCTGCTGATGTCACACAGAGTGTGTTTTCCTGCTTAAAACTTGGAGGCTCCTTTGCAGCTCTGCATCCCATCAAGGGTGGAAACTGGGGAGACACTGATCCTGGTGCCACTGCGGAGAAAACCCACCGAGGCAGGGTCAGACCCTGGCACAAGAAAGGCTTTTCTTCTCTGCTCTAGTGTGGCTTTTATTTCCTTTTATTTCTTTCTTTTTCCCCCTTTTTTAAAATTTTCCTGAAATAGCTACAACAGTAGATCTTGAGATCGAAAAGCTTAAAGATGAAGAGAAACACTTCCACAGGCCACATTCCAAATGTCACTACTTGATATTTTTGGTTTGTTTGGTTTGGTTTTTTTGGTGGTTGGTTTGTTGTTGTTGTTGTTGTTGTTGTTGTTGTTGTTGTTGTTGTTGTGTTTTGCCCTGCTGAGGATTTTGACATGGTGTTTTGTTCTGTGTCAGAAGGAAAACAAACCCTGAAATGCCAAAGTCTTTCACACAATGGTCTTTCCTTTCTCTAAACATCCCTGTGAGCTGGGCCTCTTGCAGCTCTCGACTCTTCCCAGAACAGGAGAACAAATACTAGGAAATCTGGAGGGGTGAAATGCAGGGATGAGCTGCAGGGAGCTGGCAGCACCAGCTCCACATGATTCCATGTCTCCAGTGCTGCCTGCTCCTCACCTGGGGGAGGCAGGTGAAACCTCCAGTAAGTGCTGATGGCTCCTGTCCTACTGGGAGTTTTCTGCTGAGCACCTCAGTCTCCTTTTGCTGTCCTTGTGAGACGTAACAGGATGATTTTAAGTCCTCATCTCTTATCCTCTGGCATCTGCTGTTTTGTTGTGTCACTCCCACACTTCTATGGTCCCAAAAATCTGCTTGGGAGATTCTCCCTTTCGTGGTATGAAAATGAAAATGGTGATTTTAAGTCCTCTCTAGACTTGTGGTGCTCTGGAGACACCAGAGGAAACGAGGTCTTGAGGAAATGAGAGAGGTGACCAGCAGGCACAGAAGGGACTAGCAGACAGCTCCAGAGGGACCTTCAGAGCCAGACCCCTCCCCTTTTCACCCACCAAACACAGAGGTGATGTGTTGACAGCAAGGGGCTGGTTGCTGCCTCGTAAAAATGAGGAGGGAGAACCAATGGTGTGAGAAAATAAGGCTTGTTTAATGACTTAGGACATTATCTTCTCTTTCTTCCCACTCTCTTTGTCTGCCTTGCCCTTCATAAAGTTGTGCTTTGATAAGATTTTCTTTTTTATCATCTGGGCTGGAGATTTTGGTTCATTTTCCACAGACTGAAAAAGGAAGAAAATGGGGCTTCATGCAGCATTTAGAAACAGCCTTGGACACTGAACCAGGGCCAGGCAAGACCTGGAGAAGGGGTTGCAGGTCCACCTTGGCTGATCCAGAAGACTTCAAATGACATGAAATAAGGATCTTGGCTTTCATTAGATTTTTCAGCTGCCTTTAAGAAACAGAAATATTCAGCAGCAATGTTTATATATATTTATATATACATATATATTTAGATTTTATATAAGTTCAGTTCTACTGCAGTGAACTCGTTCACTTCTGCTCTGCTCCTTCCGTTTTGGGGGAAAAACATTGACATTGCTTAGCAACCTTTAAATCATTTTTAGAGAGCACAATAATGTGGGAAGGACGAAGTTGATGTCTGTTACCTTGCCCCAGGTTACTTGATCTCCCAAATATTAACTCACCTAACCTCATTATTTGCTTCTAATCACTATTGTTTCCTGAATTGCAGTTGAGCATCCTGAAATCATAGAATATCTCAGGTTGGAAGGGTCCCAGAAGGATCCTAGATGGTTTTGGGAAAGACCTCAAAGATCTTTGTGTTCCAACCCCCTGCCAAGGGCAGGGACACCTTCCACCATCCCAGGTTCCTCCAAGTTCTGTCCAGCTTGGCCTTGGCCACTTCCAGAGATCCAGGGGCAGCCAGAGCTTCTCTGGGCACCCTGTGCCAGGGCCTCGGCACCCTAAAAGTGAAAAATAACAAGGATCAACAAGTCCAACTCCCTGCTCCTTGCAGGACTGCTATAAACGTGCATGGCTTGACTTCAATGTTGGGGTTTCACTGCCTCTGCAGCGTGGCAGAGCACCAGGCTCTCTGGGGAGATCCAACAATACAAGGCAGCGAAATCTCCATCTGACCCAGGCAAGCAGCTGCTTTGCCTTGCTGCAGCCCAGCAGTGGGATGTGTTGTGCCTGCCAAAGCAGATACTGAAGGTTCTTTCTTTCCTAATTGTCACTTTTTCTGTGACTGCTTCGAACACAGAACCAAGGAGCACGGAAAGAACAGTGCTTCCCCTGTCATGGATGGGGTGGGAAAGGCAGGAAAAAAAAGACTGAAAGAAGAATGTGGTGAAAGGCACCACAACATCCAGAGGCTTGACTCTGATTTGCTTGAAACAGTGTAAACAAGCAGGTTACAAAACTTGGAGCTGTGACTGGTGCTGGCGCCAGAAAAACAAGGAAAACATGTTTTAGACCAATTATACTGCAGAAGATATATGAGATTTTCAAGACACCTAAAGCCATCAGCATCAGACTGTGCAGTAGTTTGAGTTTTAGGGCCAGATGTAAACACCAGGGCTAAAGAACCAGATACATCACCTCATATAAAGCGACTGTTGTATTGTTTCTAAAGATTTTGCACTGTTTGAAAGATTACCTACCATAAGATCCCTCTGCTGCTCTTCTAACCTCCCTGCTGGGATGCCCTGCAGCTGGCCCAGGCTCATCTTCCCCAAGTTCTTTATCCATCTTTCTGCTCTTCCTGCTCCAAATCTCAAAATAACTGTGGCAGTCCGTGCAAACTGTCTTGAGCTTGCCCTTTTCTGCTGTATACTCACCCAACCTTTCCTGACCTATGGCCATATTTCCCCAGTCTTTGTAACATCCATAATAAAGCTCTCTGCTCATAATCAGGGCAGGACAGCCCTGGCTTGTGCTCCTTTCTATGAAACTCACTGAAAGAACATCCCACATACTGGACTCCTGAGCAACTCAACTCACCTACACAAAGAACAATGAGGCAGAGCTGGTAGGTCTGAGCAAAGGGCCCAGGTCAGCCTCTGTGGAGAAATATGACAGGACTTGCAGGAACATCTTGTTCCTTGATGTTCTCCAAGTTCCTGTTGGAAGCCAGGCAGAGCTTCCTGGCTTTCATGGATTCAGCTCTCTGTCCCTCCAGGTCACCTCTCCACTGGTCTGTTTCCATCTGGTGTCTCCCCATCCCATGATTGAGGAGGCTGTCCTGCTTCCTGATTCATCCTTCCTTGTTCTTACAGAACAGGGAGACAGCCACAGAAACCCATGGTGGTTTTGGTTCTCCAGAGCTATGGTTAATTGCTCCAGCCCTTTATGCTCTTACATCCTTTAGGGAAAAAAACAACAATCAGTACAATGGTGCATCTTCCTTTACTCACCCACCACACACTTCAGCTGCCCTACCTTTCCCAGGAGGGTGGATAGCTGGCGGATGGGAAGACACCTGAGAAATGATGAGTGGTGCTCCTGCTCCAGCAGGAAGTTTCAGGCAGCCTCAGCATAGTGATTTCATCCCCTTCAGCAGGCCCTTTGCCAGACACATCCTGTCCAGCTTGTGCTGGACAGACTGGCCACGAGAAGAGTCAGTGGCAGCCAACTCCAAATGGCCAAGACCAGCCTCTTTCCAGTGCTCGGGAGCTGATTCATGGTTTGGTTTTCTGACCCACCCAGTCTAGAGTGAGTTCAGCACATCCCTCTGAGCTTCTCTTTCCTGCTTTCAAGTGTCTCCCTCCTTCAATGATCTTCCCACATTCATGGCCCAACCCTGCTGCCACCAACTCTCTCTCTTTTCCTGGACTGGACACCAAGGCAGCAGCCAGGAGCTCGCTGGCTTTGATTCATCCTCCTCTAGGAAAAAAACTGCTGATTCTGCTGGTGACTCTTCCTCTTGACTGTCTAGCCCAGCACAAAGCCTTGGTGTTCATCTCCACCCCTGTCTTGGGGGAAAAGGCCACTTCTGAGAGCCACTGTCCCTGCAGGGCACTGCTGAACTTGGAATGTGGGAAGTGGAGCTGTGGGAAAAAACACAGCCTTGGGAGCATGGGAACACATTCCTATCCCATCAGCTTTGTGCCACCAGGCAATGCTCAAGTTTGGTGTGTGTTAAAAATCAAAACCTGATGGTTTCCCCCAGGAATCAGGCTCCTGAATGACGTAAGCATTTGTTGTCTCTCTCCTTAAATAACTACAGAGCAGAGCCAAATGGGTTTTCTCTCCAACAGATGGGCTGCTGACAGGTGCTGCTGGAGGCTGAGAGATGGAAAATCAAGGACGCTCTGATGTGGTCTGTCACTAGCTTGAAGAGAAAAAAAAGCAGGTGAGGTTTGGTCTTCTCGTTCTGCCACGTTATTCAGATGCTGTAGATATATAAAACCACAATAGTATTGTGTTAGGAAAATACTATTACCTCGTCTCAAAGGCAGGGGAATGGAATATGTCCTAAAGATGGAAGACTGGGATATGTCCTTTGGGACAAGGAGGATCTGCTTCCATAACACAGGTCCCAGAATAAGCAGGGTTCTGTCAGAATGGCATTGTGTAAAATAACAGAAAACAAAAGCCTTTCTTTGTCCCTAAATAAGTAATTTCTGTTCTTCCTTTGTGGTTCATTCTTAAAGGCTGGCTGAATTCAAGGAGGATGTGGTCACACTCGTTGGAAACTCCAGATGCTACAGTGTAAAAACACAAATCTGCATTAAACCCACATTTTTAATGAGTTCAATCTCATGTGCTTTCACTCTATTTTCCTCACAGGGTGATGGCAGGCTGCTGCAGTTTTAATGTCCCTTGGAGAGCATTTGCCCAGTTCCTCAGAAATCTCCCCCTTGATTTTTTTGACAGGATAAAGCCTTTTGTTATTTACTGATGTCACTGTAGCCTAGGAGAGAAATCAACAGAGTAATGAATTATAGACTATCCTTGTAGGACTTTTCACTCTGTTTGATTTAGTGTGAACAAATTCCAGATAATTAGAGATGAGTTCAAGTTACAACACTTCACTTCTGTCTTCTGAGTTGCCCTAAGTGGTGAGGAGTGTCTGGGTTGAGTCACAGGGGTCATTGGGAAGGTGAGATCCTTCTGTGTGTAGGTGTCAGTTTTGAAGAAGCCTAATATGACAGCAATGCATCTGTGTGTCTACTCAGGAAACACATCAGACTTTCAAAAAAACCCCTCAGAATCCCCAGCATGAAAACATCACATGGTGTTGTGTGGGTTTTCTTCAGCTTTAGCTGTGGCATCCTCCAAGTGGTTCTTCACCTGCAGGTCATTTCCATCCCAGCCACCACCTCCTGCTGCTGAGCACTTGAGGGATAAGGAAAGAAGCATCTTGGCCTTGGGTTTTTGAGATCTGGGACTGCTGGACATAAAATGTACCATCTGTGCAAAGCTTTCCACCAGCATCCTCATTTTGTATGTACAAAAGCAACTCCAAATTAAAAAAAAAAATAAAAATTGAAGGGGTATGGGAAGAGGCTGGGGTCTTGCTTTCTCCTTGATCAACAAAACCCTTTTCTCAAAGCAAAACCAAAGTCACTTCATCATGATATTGGAAGATGATGTACAGTGCTGTGGTACAACAACGAGGGGAGGGTGTCCCTGAGCACACAGCCACCCCAGGGCACAATTAGGAGAGTTAAATAGACTTTTCCATCTGAATGCTCCATTTTTATACATAACCACCATTTTAATCATAACTCACTGCCTGTTGGAAGTCCTTTGGTAGTGCCATTGTCATCTGTAGACACTGGAGTCTGGGGAGGAGAAGGATGTGTTGGTTATTTGATGGACTCTTTCATGAGGGTTGTACTCAGTTCTCTCCATGTGCACAAACCACCACAATTTGGAAAGTCTGGGTGGTCTTTGGCAAGGTGCTCTTCATACACCCAACTACAGCACCAAACACACCTTAAGATAGTCAAGGTACAGGTGATGCACTCCTGCCTACCCTTGGAGTTTATAGCTTTTACTGTTGGTTAAAAATCTGAAAAAATTAGGCCAATATGTGGACATTGGGCCTGGAGGATGCCTCAGCTCAGATTTTGATAGTTTAGCTCATGATTTTTAACTTCTGGACATCACAGGGGTGATGACTTGGTTTGCTTGCAGTCTGATGAACCCCATGATTTCCAGCCAAGTACTTGACCCAGAGAATCAAACCCATAGCTGCGTGACTCACAAGGAAAAATCAGCAACAAGAACAATAAAAATCCTTGGAAAGACGAGTGGACTCTATTGCCCTGTAAAACACTACAATGGCACAGTCAGTTATGGAGCAGCACTTTTACCAGCTGGGAGGAAAGGAGCCATGGACCTTCTTTGGATGTGAAAGTAAAACTCTGCTTATTTCTATCTCTTCAGGAGAAGATGGGACAAGGACGGCATCAAGAAACTAAAACCAGACAAGGAACAGAAGGAATATTTAAGGAAAAACATTGCAGCATCTGGCAAAATATTTTCTCTTTATATCCTTCCTTGGGGTAATGGTTATTCACCATCTGAATGGCATTGGTGGTTGTGACTCCTCAGGATGTAAATCACAGAATCACAGGGTGATCTGGGTTGAGAGGGACCATAAAGATTATCCAGTTCCAACTCCCCCATGCATAAGAAGAGCAGCTGTACTGCACATGTGATGGGCTGAATGGACAGCTCAGTCCCTGGGGTAGTGTCTGGTGACGGGTGGCTTTGATGAGGCTTACAGGAAAGCCACTCATGGTGGAGAGAAGCACTTGGGGTCCCAGCTGGTTCATGTTTTACATGCAGTCATAAAAAAAAATCAAACAATCATTTAGCGTGCAATAAGCGGATGCAGGAAGGTTTTTTTAAACCAGAGTCACAGCAGGTCGTGGCCAGCACTGATTCCTTGCTGTTATGGTCAGAGGTCCCCTCTGATGCATGGGGGGACTCTCCTATCCTGTGCTGGAAACCCCTGTGGTCTTGGAGTCCCCCTGGCTCCAGGCCCATGCAGGGGGATGAAGGCACTGACTGCTGTTCAACATCCTGTCCCACCAGAGACTGGATGGAAAACACCGATTTCCTTTCAGAGGAGATTCAGAGATGCATTTATTGAGGACTTGTTTCTCCTTGGAGGCAAAGGGATTGGAAAGACAAAGCCCCTTTCCCTGTCATGTTGAAGGCTCCAGGCATGGAGCAAGAAGGTAACACTGATAACACAAGGCTCTGTAACATGCAAGATCTAGGTTTCCTACACCAAACCACAATGCAGACTCCTGGATTCTTTGTCAGCCACCATGGAGCCAGCAAACATTAAATTATGTGCTGTCCCCACCTCCCCACCAAGGTTCTGACAGTCCCAAGGTGACATCTCTTGCTGTTCCTTCTAGAAAATGCCACATGCTCTCTGGGGGTGTTTCCAAGCTAAAGTGCTCTTTCAAGCTTCATGGCTGGGAAGAAGCCCCTGGGATCAGAGGCAGAGGCAGAAGAAAACATGACAAAGGAGGCACGAGGTGTTTGACCTGGTGGCAGAAGTAATTGGCTCAGATTTGTTTGGCTCATGGATATTCACTGGTGCTGTTGGAGGTGGGATGTAAGAGCACCACCAGCTCTGAGATGCCACATTTTCCTGCACATGGATGTAGTGACTGCTCTTTTGAAGGAGGTTATTAATCCTTGCCATGTCATTGCTTTGAGCGATGGAGCAGTGAAAGACCTGTTCTGCAGCACTTAGAGAGGAAGCCCAAAGACCTGGCTCCTCAGAGAACAACCCATACCCACCCACTTGGAGGACAGAGACTCCTCTCAAGAATTTCACAGCCACTTTGGGAACCTTGAGGTTGAAAGCCCCTCCATGGCAAATACCTGGAGAAGCACTTCATCTTCCCTGGCTATAAGAATTTGTCTTAACTAAAGATTTTCAATTAAAAGTCAAGACTGAATTGCTGCAAAGTGCCAGAGACAAGAGTCATTAATACTGGAATGCAAGTTTTAGATAATTTTTAATATGCTCTGCAAGACATCCATAAAAGGCCCTTAATCAATATGCTCTTCAATTCCTTGCATTAAGGTTTGAGGAATTTACATTCATGGCAGGGGAAGGGTCGGGAAATCATAATGAATTTCCATCAGAGCTCTTAACACAGCCAGACCTGGGAGATCATCAGGGTACAAGCTGTTGGGAGGGTGTGACCAAATGGATCAGACTTTTTTGGTGATCCCAGTCCATGTAGAACAGGTGGTGTAGCTTTTCATTGATATGGAAGCAAATTTTTGAGTCCCTGTTGGTGACAGCAACTGTGATTTTGCTTGGCCATTTCAGCCAGTATCAAATATTCACTGACACTACTAGCAGCTTAAGCATTACCTGACCTTCCCCTGAGGAGATGAGCAGAGAGGATGAGGATGGCCTGAACTGTCATCAGGGCTGCAGGTGCTCATGCCTGGGGACACCAAACTTTCACATGTAGCATTCCCATGCCCTCACAGATTTGATAACTCTCTTCCTGCACACATACAGGGTTAGTTTTATGGTTGGTGCACAAGCAAAGCAAGCTGATACTCCTGCTTCCCACTGCCATCACCTCACAGCAGGAGCATGGAGAGGCACGAGCTTTCCCAAGGTGAGGAGGACAGGGACAATCCAACCCATCCAAGAGGACACTCTGGCAATGCAGGTTTGAAGTTAAGCCTGTGCTTAAGCATTTGGCTGGATCCGGGCCAGAGGTGCAGAAAAGAAATTTCCAGTAAGGACAAAACTCTAGGAAGAACCAAACCCTAGAGGAAGCTGAGGGTGAGGTTTGTGCTTCCTATTTCAGTCTAAAAAAAGCCCTGTCCCAGGAGGGGGTGAGTTTCAGTAACATCCAGAAGGTCTCCCACACACACACGCCAAATATTCCAATTCTTTGTATCCAGCACAGGGGGGTGATGATAGTAAAGCACATGGAAATTCCACATGCAGATGGACCCTCAGAACATCCTTCCCTGCAGGTACCCCAGGGACAGAGCAGCATCACCCTTGGAATGGCTCATGGGAGGAGGGACACACTGAAGGAGCAGAGGTGGTTGTTGCAGCCAGCTTGACCCCCAGGGATGATGACAGGGCCTAGGGATTTATCCCGTGGTTATCTGCATGCTCTGTGCCATGGGTTTGGATGAAGGCCAGGTATTTCTCTCACCATTTTTCCTTGGGAGAAGGCAGGAGCTGGGGGCTGTGCCCTAGGAGCAGGCTGGATGCAGCCACACTGTTTCAAAGGCTGTAAAAATACAGTCCTGTAGAGGAAAGCCAGGTGAAGCTATTTTTTAGACTGCCTCAGGCCCTGCCTAGTTTACTGCCAACCTAAAAATCCCCCAGTGCTGGGAAATCAGCTTGGACATTGTGTGCACATTGCTGCAGCTCAGCCTGCGTTCGGAGGGTGCATCTGTCTGATTTTGCAATCCCGAGGCTTGAAATGAGCTAGGGAAAAGCAGGCAGCCCTTTGGAGAGGGATAGGGGAAAATAAACAAGGAAAGAAAAACACAAGGAAACCAAAAGCGCAGGCGGGAGGGAAGGGAAAGGCAGGATTTTGTCTCGGGAAGGCGTCGGATCCTCTGAAGACTGTCCCCACCGTCGCCTCGCATTGCGAAAGAGCTTTTGGCTCGGTCTGGGGTGCCCCTCGGTGTTCCAAGGGATGCCGGCACGGCAAGGCTGTCCCGGGCGCTGCTCGCAGGGCGCAGCGGGGATGCCGGGGAGCCGGGGGCCCGCGCCGGGGCCGGGATGGGCGGCAGCGGCAGCGGGCTCGCAGCGGGGCCGCCTGCCATCTAGTGGCACCGGGACCCCGTCCCCTCCCTGCCCCGGCCGAGGGAACCCCCGAACGCAGCCCAGACCCCTCCGAGACCCCCCGCGTCCCTCTGCATGCGGGGGAATCGCCTTCGGGTTTGGGGGTTCCGAGGGGATTCTGCCAGCGGGGCTGGAGCATCTGCCTGGAAAACGCGCCGAGCGTGGATGTGTTTGCGAACTGAGGAGCCGCGCCGATCCCAGCAGCCATGGAGTCCTGCCTGGGGCTCTCTCCCCCTCCCCTTCCTGCACCTTTCCCCCTCCTTACGCCTCTGCTGGGGGTTTCTCCTTCTTTCCTTCATTAAAAGAAATAACCCGTGGCAGGAGCAAGGCTCTGTCCTCCCCTCCATCTCTTCACGTTCACTGCAGGCTCCCTCCTGCCTCCCATTTGTGGTCTCGTTGCTCCCCCACTGCTGCTGGTCCCCATGGAGAGCGGCGGGGGCGGGGGACACAGCCACGTTCCCTCTCTTCCTCTCGCATGTCTTTAACACCCCCAGATCTTTCAGGGATGCTGACATCTCTCTGTTTCTGCACCCAGAAGTTTGGAAGCTGAAACGGGAGGGGGGCGAGGCCTGAACCCCCCTTCCTTTGTATCTTCCTGCAAATTCCAGCAGTAAATCCCTTTTGGGGGTGACAGTGTCACATTTCATATGCAGGGAAGGAAATGGAGATGGCTTTTCAAAGGCCACCCCAGAAAGGGATGGAGTAATGCACGTCCTAGATCCCTCCTGCCCCTTGGGGTCTTTTTGAGGGGTACAGAGCAGAAAACTAACATGGAAGAGTTCAAACAGCCCACACCAGGATGTTTATCAGGTGCAGAGCTGGGATCAGATTGAAAAGGAGAGGGAAAGCTGGGCCCTGGGCAGCTGTGAGATGTCAGCCAGGGGCAATGATGTGCCCAGCTGGTTCAGCACCTGAGGGGTGCCAAAGATGATGCCAGCAATGGGTCCTCTTGGCAAACCAGCACCAGACACAGATCATCTCTGATGGAGCGGGTCAGAGCAGCCTGGCAGCACCCCAGAATCCAAAAGCATGGGGAAGATGGCACAGGGACACTGTGGGTCTGTGCCCACAGCCCCTCCACTGGCAGTGGATGCACAAAGCCCTTCCCACTGAAATCAGCTTGGAGGTGAGGCACAACCAACCCCAGATATGACCCAGTTCTGGGGGTCCAGTTTGCTCATGGTCTCTCATGGCACCTATGGCTGGGTGCAAAACCCTTCTTGATTTTCCTGCCATCCTGCACAACCTAACATGGATCCAGCAGTGTGCCTTCAATCCGAGGATTCCAAATCAACACTCTCCATCTTCAGCAGTACCATCACAAAAGTGGCATTTGGGGTTTCCTTGTGTTCTCCCCACTCACCCACCTCTCACCTTGTTTCAAAAATATGTTCACCCTACTTTTCCTTCATTGTTTTTCCTTCTTTTATTGCTTTGTTCTTTTATATATATATATATATAAATGCTGCATCCACTGCATCCACAGCTAGTTGGGAATGGGAAGGGAGGAGGTCTTTTTGGCTCTTGTGTTGAGGGTGCCCCTTACCAGCTGGTGACAGTGCTGGGAACTGGTCCCAAGGCATGTTTTTTTTTTTTTTTTTCCAAGGAGAGGTCAGCACCCTGTGCAAGGCAGGATTTTATCCAAGGGAAGAGGCTCAAGGCACCAGTATGACCCATCTCCATCCCGCAATGTGCTGCCCTGGGGACCAAGCCTCAGCCACTGAGGAGGGGAGGAAACCTTCTAGGAGGAGGAAAAAAAGAGATTTCTGAGAAATGCTGCTACTTGGTACAGGTACCTTCAAGTGTATCATAAGAGAACAGAGCTGCCCCTGCTCACTGGGGTTTCCCATCTCCCAGGGTTCTGCCCATGTTTCCTCTACCATCCCAGCTGGCTGGGATTCCTCATTCCTCCAAGTGAGCCAGGTCCTTCCAAGGCTGATTCCACATTAGCTCCATGACAAGCTAGAAGAGGACTGCAGAGCTAGTCTTACACTTTTATCAGCACAGGATTAATTAAAAAAGAATTCAGAAATAAACAAAAAACAGCTCGGCATTAACCTCATGCTAGAGCAATTTCCAAGCAGGTACGCCAGTGAAATAAAAACAGCAATTTGCAGCTAAATAAAAATAACAGTTAAGCATTTGAAACACAAATGCACCATTCAGGAGCAGCAGATAAATATTCAGACGCGTTCATTAGGAGGTTGAGGCTGTCTCTCAAATAAACAGGCAGGTACAAAATAGCAGCCTGAATACTCCAATTACGCCAACATTGCATCAGTGCCGATGCTCCCGGCTCCGGGAGTGGGAGGGGGAGAAGGGGAGAGGGTGAGGAGGAGGAGGGCAGCGGGGAAAGCGTGTGTGGGAAATTTATATATATATATATATTTTTTTTTAATTTGCCTTAAATTTTGTTTTATGTAACCAGTGTTTGGATTCTCCTCCACGGAAGGTTTAACTCCCGGGGATGGGAAGCTCTCCTGTGCTCCTCATGGCTCCCACACATTGGGGAGAGCAGGGCTTGGTCTCCTGCAGCCCTAAACCCACCCTGCAGAGCCCCCGGGCAGCGAGGGACGGCCGTGGATCAGCGCAAAGCAAAACAGCGCCGAGCCCAAAAGCTACAAAGCCTTTGGAGCTCAAGTGCTGCAGCTGGCTGGAAAAACAACATCCTAGCGCCCTGAGCCCCCCGCCATCCCCCTTTGTACCGTCCCTGCCCCACGGCTGGGATGTGGCTCTGCGACAAGGGGACACTGAGCACAGGGGTGCGGGTGGCTGGGGCAGAGCCCTGCTGTGGGGCCGTGGGGATGCTCAGGGACACTGGGGTGTCCCCCAGCCAATGACAGCGACACTTTTGGGGTGACATGTGTCACCTGGGTGGGGACAGGAACCACCCTGCCTCACAAACACTGCAGAGGGACACAACATGAGCCCTGCTGTGGGGCTGGGGAGATGCTCAGGGACAGTGCAGTGCCCCCAACCCCAAGGACAGCCACACTTCTGGGGGTGACGTGTCACCTGAGGGGGAGCAGGTGCCACCCCACCCCATAGGAAATGCACTACTCCCACCACACACAAACCCTGCTGTGGTGCTGTGGGGATGCTCAGGGACACTGGGGTGTCCCCCACCCAAGGCCAGCCACACTTCTGAGGGTGACATGTCACCTGGGTGGGGACAGGAACCACTATGCCTCACACACACTGCAGGAGGACACACCATGAGCCCTG